TATCTTCATACTATTTTTACTGATACTTTTCTATAACAAAATGTGTGTTTATTGCATGTCTATATATAAAGAAGTGCTTAATTTTTACCGTTCATGCAGAAACTTTGTGGCGGGCACTTTTATCATTACATTTGACTTGACACACTTTCAAAACATTACAAAATACATATGTTATGTGTTTTTCCATATTTCAACTACTGTTTTCCATTCTTCTAATTATATACTCGTTAAAAGATATATATGTATGTGTTCATATGTAGAAACATACTTATATATTACACATTATATAAATTTAGAAACATGATATGTATTTAGAAATGTTCGCCAAAATAAAAATAAATTTTTCTATTTATTAGATATTTTCTACAAATTAAAAATAATAACAAGTAAGGAAGTGCTAAGTTCAGGTGTAACCGAACATTTCATACTCTTGCAACATGCAAGGAACAAAGGCGGAAAACACCTACCGGTTTAGACAAAACTTTATACCAAACTAAGGAAAGTATCGGCGTAATTTCATCTATTTAAGCAAAGAGGATACAGTGTTATAAGAAAAGTTCCATCTGCATTTCATTAAGATTTCTTACATATTAAGCGATAGATGCGGTATAAAGTGAGCCGGAGGTTCGAAAATATTTATGTTAGGTAAATGGGAGCCAAGGGAAATGTTGACCTGCTTTTACACATTTTTGGCACAGTGCGATTTTGACATATTATGGACTTAAGGTGAAATTCGCAATTTCTTATCCTGATAAATTTATTGATGTTTGATTTGTATACAGTAAAGTGAAAGAATCAGACGCAATTTAAAAGTTTGTTTAATCGGAATTAGGCGTGGTTGTCATCCAATTTCACCCATTTTTGCAGTGTCTAATAAAAATGTTTGGGTAAACTCACACACCAAATTTGGTTAAAATTGGTCGAGTGGTTCCTAAGCTAAAAAATTTCACCTAAAGATGGGTGGTGCCACGCCCCTTGTCCACATTTAATACCAGATTCTACAAAGCTTTTCTCTATCATCCTGCTTGTTAAATTTAATGCTTATGCCTCATTTATTGTGAGTTATCGTACTTCAAGTAGTTTTCAACATTACTGTTATATGGGGGGTAGGCGTGATTATTATCCGATTTTACCCATTTTCACAGAATTTGAAGGAGGATCAAATGACTTCTTCTCAGCAAGTTTGGTTGATATAGCATTAGCGGTGTGGAAGATATGCCCACTAAACCAGGCTACTGTGATCTCTTGTACTAAATTACAGTTTTGCATCTTAATTTGCGCTTTAGTTATGACATTTTAAAAGTCTTCGTTTAATGGCGCTTTGTGGGCGTGGCCCACAGCCTCCTTTCGGTATTTAGTATGTGTACCAAGTTTTATCATCAGTCACCCGGATTTCAACTCCTCTCGTCATCCTGGTCATTCATATGCACTCGTATATAACTCGATATCTCTCTCGATTAGTTTTAGGGGATACACACAACCGTTAGGTGTAAAAAATTATTAAACTCTATAGCAACATGTTGCATGATATTTGCACACTTAGGAGTAAACCCACCTCATTTATGTAACGGGCAGCGAGGATTATTGAATTTCTGAACGGATGATATCCTGAATGAAGATTTCTGCGATGAGCTTTCCTTGACAGAAAAAATGTCGGAAATGCATGTTTCTGCAACGAGCTTTCAATTTATTGGAGTTTTTGACAACCTGATCGCTGTGGCTTACGCTAGTCATAGAAGGATGCTCTGTTGACTAAGCGACACCAAAACCTTCAGAACTGACGAGAAAATTAAAGGCTGTTGTGATTGCTAGACAAAAAAGACCTGCGGTAATATGCCGATACCTCTGGCAGGCGAGCATTTCATATGTTCAAATATTGTATTACAACAACAAAAATAAACAAAGCATTGGCAACACTGCAACTCTACGGGTCATGAACATGAGTTTTTTGTAATTTATACTTCTTCTTATTGCAACATATATTTAAACCCACGTTGTTAGGTAACTGTTGATGTTCGATTATCTACGATTCGACTTTTTTAATGACAGTTATCGGAGGAACAAATTTTGGTTTCCTCCCTATCCTTTACAATGATCTTATATGATTTGTGTTTTGGCCAGGAGGTTATCGGGTGAAATAACTATGAACTTCAATAGTTTAACAATTTTAATAAAATAAAATTCTTCTGAAAGCGTATCTGCTTTTAAATATAATAACCTACTCCAGCGCTGTCTTATATACTATCCATTTCATTTATTAATATTATATTATATATACTTGCTAGCCCGAAAAAAGCAGAAGTATTCGCTGTCACCGACTGTTACCAAGATCTTTCTGTCACAATTTTTTCATTAATTTCAACTCAATTTATTTGCTTGAAAACAAACTGTGTAAACGTTGACAATTCTTGTTTTCTTTATTAAATATTTTTGTCCTATTTACTCGTAGCATGAACAGATATATTTTATTATACTATAGGATGCCTAGCTGAATTTAAATATTATATTTGCATATTATACCAATAGTAATATAATATTAAAGTAGCTTAAGTCGACGTAATTTTTGGACTGTAGACAACAACTTAACGAGTCTTCTTGTTGCATTTTATTTTTCAAAATACTTTGGAATCGAAAAGTTATAATTGCTGTCGAATAAAAAGAAGGTATATTCCGAGTTTTGTACTAGAAATTAAAATGACTGACTACTTTAGCTTAAATCGACTTAAGTTGTTCTGACATATTGCCGCAGTTACATATGTATTTTGGTAAAAGTATACACGGATGTATTCTCTGCCGCTAGTCTTAAATATAAAAATTATTGTGTATTAATCCAACGGGCTTTTTTATAAGAACAAACATTGTTGCCTTCCAAATAGTGGAACGTGGACTACTGTCGGATATAGTGGAATGTCGAGTAAATAACGCGTTAAAGAAAGATACTTCATACAAAATTTACTCATTGCCCTTTATCGAATTACTAGTTTAAAATAATTAGGCTTTGTGGAAGGCTTTATGGAGGGGTTATATGCACATATGAATTTCAAAAAATCTATTTTTTGTTTTGCATATATGATATATCGATTGTACATACATATATTTGAGAATATTCTCTGAAAATGCGAATGAAATTTACCCGGCAAATAGTGACGGAGATATGGGGCAAGAATTTTTTAACTTATGTAATCGGTTCCTAAAACTTTAAAAGCGTTTTTCTCGAAACGCTATTTTCAGAGTGGGTTACGAAAATTTTTCAGAAACGCCTGGACCGATCGACATTGTATTTTCATGCGAACTTCTTAGAAATGAAGGGTGATCCATTTCGAGGTGCTCTACTTTTTTTAAGTAAAAAACACAGAAAATTTAAATTTAATGGAGAATGTTTATTATCATTCGAAAGAACATTCTTTGCAATTTATTTTTTGAAGATTATCTCCTTCAAATGTTGGCCGCGGCTACATCTCAGATGGTCCATCCGTTGAGTCCAAACTTAAATGACACGTACGAACATTTCGACTGGTAACTGGCGAATGACACGAGTGATGTTTCGTTCCAAGGCCTGAATCGAAGCGGGATTGTCCGCATAGACTTTAGACTTTACATATCCACACAGGGAAAAGTTTAACGGTGTGAATATGGACCGATGATTCCACCATCCCATAGACCACACCAAACCGTTGTTTTAAAAATTCTTCAGGTTGCTCTTGGTCCCAAATGCGGCAATTTTGCTTGTTTACATACCCATTGCGCCAGAAATGGGCCTCATCGCTGAACGAAATTCGAAAACGAGGTTCGAAAACGTAGGATCTTCTTGGAACTTTTCAAGAGCCCATAGAGCGAAGCGATGTCGCTTGGGAAGGTCGTGTCGAATTTAAGTCTTGACGTAAAATGCGCCAAGTCGTTCCATATGTCAGTCCGAGTTGCTGCGAACGGCGCCGAATCGACTCTCCACGGCCTTGGTGTACATTGTCAGCTACGGCCGCTATATTTTCTTCACTGCGTTCTAGACGTGGTCTATTCCGTCAAATATTATCTAGTAATGAATGCTGGGTTTCAAGATGAATGATGTTGTTGCGAATAGCAACCTACTGAGCATGGTAGGCCAATTATGTTGACCATAAGTTAAGCGAGGCGTGCGAAACGTATTCTTTACGGAACGTGAATTTTCCTAATAAAGTTGAACAATTTGTAAAGGTTGTTCATGCGTAAGTCTTTCCATGATAAAATGCCAAACGATACTAAACAAAAATAACATGACAGCTTGAAACGAATCACGCGTGATTTGTCAAAAAAAGGCTATTGAAAAAACTCCACACAAAAAATTTCTTCCTTAACGCCAGACACCTTTCCACCGTGTCCCTGGGGATCGGCTACAGTACCAAGGGAATACAAAATTTTTTAATATGGATCGCCAATTATTACTGTTTATTTTATTTATTTATGAAATAAAGCGACTTTTCATAAAAATTCGCGAAAAATCGTGTTTTTTCTGACTTGCAATTGGATGTAAACCCTTACTTTTTTCACGGCTCTTTCATAAACTTAACATATACTTCGACAATAAAACTTGTTCACTTAAAAGTCCGCCAGATCAGTCTAAGATCTTTGAAGAGGTAACATAATCTTTATAAATACAGTCTTCAATTAAATCCAAATAGAGAAGATACAACACGAACTGAAACCTATATTCGATATAAATACCAAATCTAATACGAGTATACTATTTTATTTCAATATTTTTCTATGCGAACAGCGAAGGTGAACGTATGAATAAGGTGTTAGGCTTCCCTAAATTACCATGAGTTATGAACTCTCTATCTGAATATCCAAATGATAAGCCCATAATTTAAAACTGATTAGATAGCGGAGCTAATAAAATAAATTTATTACACATAATTTTCATTCATACCGATTTTTCCTACCGGGTCGGTATGAAAATAAATTTATAATTATGTATGTAATGCATGTGTGTAAGTAGTTGTAAATTTATTTTCAAGCAAATATTGAATAATTTTTTATTTATTTAATAGTTTAATTAGTCACAGTTACTATGTAAAGTGTAATTAAATTTATGGTTTCAATATTCAATGCTTTTTTCGGAATTCCCTCCTTCTCTCGCTACTTTTGCCCTTCAGCCGCTCTGTTTGGGTCTAGCCCCGATGACGACTCATTAATTTGCACTTGCTTGAGGCGTGACGATAATTGTCGCGACGCTGCCAAGTCCCGTTTATAATTTGCAATGGCCGTTTCCAGTATTTGCTCAACTGGTGAGAAAGTGGCTCGAGAACGTAAACGCGCTTTAGCAATATCCAAAGACTATACAAATATATAGAGAATAAAGAGTATTTCACAAAAATAATTCTTCCATATAAATCTATATTATGTAGTTGATATTTAAAACGTTTTCACACCTTAAGTAAGTTCGTGTTTCTCGCAATGGATTCCTCATATGAGAGTACCTTATTTGTCTGTGCTGAAGTCTTTTTGGTTCTCTGCTGTTCTAATTTCTGCAATTTATTTTCATCAGCTTTGCTGCAAAAATAAATGTTTTATAGATTCATATATTCATATTTATATACAATTTTATATTCGACTATCTCAATGACAGGAAGTGTCAAATCTTGAGTTCTGATCTGTAGTATAAGAATTGAGCTCAAGTTACGAACCCCGAACCGAACTATAGAAACCCATCTGATGTAAATGGAATATACTTTATATGAAATATGCATAAGATGTCTGCCAATGAGTCTTGTGCCGCACACTAATGTTATTGAATATATTCGAAGTACTATAATTGTCGGACAAAGGGTAAAGTACTGTTATATGGGAACGTGGAGTGTTTCTTTATCTTTGATTTCATTGTGTGATACTATCAAACAAAATTTATTCAAACATTTGAATACTTTTGTGTGTTGCTATTGAGAAACCTGAAAACATTTCCAAATCATTATTTTCAAATCGATGTTATCCAGAAAGTAATAGTGGTTTTTGTAGTAATATAATAAATTGGAGAATCAAACCAAAAAACTCATCATCCACCATTTTAACCACATTCCAGTGGTACTAAGAAGTGTAATGATTCTTTAAATCCTCACTATCGCTTAAAAGCTTATAGACACGTGAGTCTGAGTTATGCTTTCCTTTTTAAATCTCATTAGGAACGTCTGCATGGTTGTCGAGATCCATTAACACATTGTTTCTTTCGAAGAACTTCCCCTATTGGTACTTCCACTAGCAGCTGGATATTACCTTTTCTTCTTCTCATTCGAAATCACAAAATTTCTTCGTTCGTCTTTCTTGTCACAAACCCTTATTTGTGTTATGATTTGGGTATAGCAAACATGAAAGATTACTGGCAGCCAAAACGGAGCGAATAAGATCTATGATCGTTGACTTTTGTTGGTATCGTGTTATGAAAAGCTTTTCCTTAGTGACTTATATCCGATTCTTCCTTAGTGACTTATATCCGATTCTTCCTTTTTTATGCGGGTTGTTCGGGACAACTTTTAACATCAGGAAAAATGAGTTGATCCTTAGGTCCGATAAGTGTTAAGCCAAAAAAAATCAATACTTTTTTGGTCGTGGTGGCTTCAACATGCTCATCCGACTCAAATATCTTTCACTGCGAATGACTGTTAAAAGTTTTGATGCGATTCACACGGAAAATACGGTGGATCGAGCAGCAGTTCGTAGTCTAATTCAAGCAATTTGGCCATAGCGACGACGGAGGTGTAGGCTGGTGCGTTTTCTTCGTACAGGGTAGCTCACGAATCGTGCTACAAAAACATACCATAATAACCTTTTTTGTGAGTGAGTAATCGACTTACTTTCTTTTTATTTGCCATGTTATTATTAAAATTCTTTAAAAATTAATATTTGGGATACCGAAAGGAGAGTTTAGATAGTGCAGCGGTATTATGCTTTGCAGTCCGTCAATTCCGTCCACAGAGAGCTCAGACGGTATTTTGGCGGCATTTTCCTGAGTAGATGGACCATTAAAAGGTTGATAAACATGTTCGCCGAATCTGGAAGTATCGCAAGAAAACCGTACCATTGAGATGCGTATGTTCGTATTCAAAAAAGAATCGCTGATGTTGCATCATAAATTCAGGCAAATCCAAGAGTTTCGAACCGCAACTTATTGGCGCAACTTGGATTAGTAGATGGTAATTACAACGGATAATTAATGATGACTTAAACCTGTTTCCATACAAAGTTTAACAAGCTGGTTAAACTGTGTAGATTTACCTATTTGAATGGAGTTTTGCCATAAAATGATTGAAATGATCGAAGAAGACACTTGATAAATTGCCTGTTTATGTTTGATGAGGTCGATTTTGATATAATCGGAAATATAATTTTAATAGCGTTTGGTTCCAGGAAAACGGAGCCACTGCAGAAATAGGCAGAACGGTTATTGCGGAGCTCCAACGAAAATTTGAAAACAAATTAATATCAAGAAACTCCACTTTCCGCTGGCCCCCAAGATCACCTGACCTCTGCAACAGACTTTTTTAATGGGGTTATATCAAGCAAGTGGTGTACAAAACCAAACCCAATATCTGACTAAAATGAGGTAGTCTAATTTAAAAAAAAAAGTTATTACGGTTTGTTTTTGTAGCACGATTCGTGAGCCACGCTGTAGAAGTGCACTTTTTCGTTCAGCATTGTAGAGCCTTGTGACCATTTTGCACTTCTCCAAGTTGTCAATGTAGATAAAGATTGGAAGATCCAGAAGACGGTGCCATCATATTTCGACTGTTCATTTTTCTATGGTGTGTATCAGTGGATACATGTTTCGTCTTGAGTACTAGAAATTATCAGTTTTCGGGCAACTAGGTGTGGCTCATCAAAAACCAATTTAAACTAAATTGTCGACCGATATTATTCTTTTTCCATTATTTTTAAAACTAGTTCGATTCGACTGAAGATCGGTTACTGTCGTCTACTAGAATATACTACTCGATATTAAATTCCCCTTGCCATAGTGGCGACACCGGGCGGTGAGGCTAAGTACATATTTATAAATGGTACTTATTGGACCATTGAACATTTGTTTATTTTCGCAAAGTATGAAAATATGTTTTCAAAAGTGTTTTTGGCCTGCATATAATCCACATAGCGCATATTTTATATAACGCTAGGCGCATTGTTGTGTTATATGAATAATTGAAATTAATTACGAATTCCATTGGCGATTACTCACATTTTTTCCAGTCTTCTGTCGATCTCTGCTTCCAGCGCTGAGTATTTTTCATTAATTTCGCTTATTGCATCCATACTTATTGTGTTCGACAACTGTCAGACACTTATAGAACCTTTAATTTATTTTAATTATTAACAAAATGAACGCATTTTCACGGCTAAAGTAACACGTGTAGTAAAAGCAAAGTAAATAAAACAGTAAACAGTCGTACCTTGCATATAAAACGCACTGTTGTCAAGACAACAACAAATGCATTTAAATGGGGTGATTATTCGAATGCAAATACAATGTTCTTGATGCCATATGTACATGCTTGTTATAACCTCGTAATGTACTACAAAGGGCTTACTAGTTTAGTTAACCTAACGCTTGTTTGTAACGCCTAAAGTTATACCTCTATATTATCAAAATTATCAGAATGACGACACGAATTCTGTTATTAGTGTCGTCTGTCCGTTCGTACATATCTGATTTGATTCTTTTTTAAAGTGTGTTGACCCCGCCCTCTAATAGGTTTAATGTAGATATCTCACAATTCGCTAATGCTATACCAAGCAAACTAGGGGGAAATGTTTACGTCTAGCTCTTCATCATGATGTGAAAATGGATGAAATATATATAGCTCAAATATCGGTAGTTTTGATGCCTGCGAAAACATTCCAGCTTGGAAAGGAATATATTATTTTCCTTAAAAGAAAGCATGCCAGTCTCACTATTAAGGTTTTCGACGGGAGACATCCTATAATAATCCGGAGTGCTGCGATCTGACTTGTTTGTGTCTTTTCAGTTGCGTTCTTCTGCATGCAAGCGACCATATTGGGGCTGCATAATTGAAGACCGGCTGGTTGATTGCCATGTAAGTGGCCAGATTTTGGATCAGTAAGTAAAAAAATCAATACATTATCTCTTCCTCTTTGGATATTATTAATTAATTTTACGTTCACTTTTACTTATGCAGCATATTATTTTGTTCATTCGTATTTTTTCTGTTTGTATTATTTTTTTTTATTATTAAGAAATGGAAATTTTGCAGTACCTATTGCCCTCATAGATTTTGAATTAATTTTAGTTTTTGTAAACTATGCCTTAGCAACAATGACATACATACAACCAAGCGGAGATAACAAAATAATAAATAAATTTAAAATGATTAAGACATCGAGAAATCTTTAAAATGATCAATATATTAGGTATTTAAAATTTTTTTTTTCGAATTCCGTGTGAACGCAGTTTTCATACACATTCTGTAGTACAAATATTTAATACTTGATTTGTGCCCGCACTTATGACAATTAATTTCAAAAACCTCATTATACACAGCGTTACTATGATAAAAGCATTTAGTTGACTATTTCGTTTAGTTTCGTCTCTTATAAATATGTATGTATGTAATAGTTATATATGTAAGTAGCTTAAAGCCTCCACTATGTGAAAGAGTCACTTATGACTTTAATATAAAATCACTAATAATGGGCGCCACTCGCTCTGGCGTTACCAAATGCAAGTGATGCGTGCCAGGTACTTTCTCAAATATCACCAATTTTGCATGCTTTCGCAACGTTTCAATTACTTCCAAATAGAATTGGGGATTTTGGAAATTCATACCAGGTTCCGCGCGTATATTGAGTACTTTACAGCGTATCTGCTTAGCATAGGCCAGTACTTGCTCCATTGTAAACATGCCCAGCAAACTCACTTTCAAACGTAAATCTCGCACAAAATTATAGCCATCTTTCTCCATTTCCGGTGGCACGGGTACCATGCCACGACGCATCAACACTTTAACGGACTCCTCATCCACCGAACCGTCATAGGCATCTAAAACTAATTTGATCATCTCTTCATAACTATAGCACGGTAGTTTTTTTAACGGTAATTTTTCATAATCCAGAAGTTTATCTAAAGCCCAGCCAGTAGTGGCTGCCGTACGTTCGATACTACGCACAGTCGGACCGGCTATGTCAATGTTGATGAGTTTATCTACTTCATCAGGAAAGCTAGCTGCATACATGAATGTGAGGGCGCCACCCATTGAATGGCCCAATAGTGTAACGTTTTCCCAGCCATAGAGACGTACAATACGCCGTATTACACAAATGCCATCCCAAAAGATGAAATACTGCATACCCTTGGGATAATGTGAAGATTTGCCATGTCCTGGTAGATCAATGCAGAGTATTGGAATGTGTGCGGGAAGCAGTGGACACAGGCGATCGAATGTGCCGGCATTATCTTGCCAACCATGAAACGCTAGTACTGGCTGACGATTACGTGGACCCCACCATTTGCCTGAAAGTGACGATACGAATATAATACAGCTATTTTTATGCACATTATTGTATTGATTATTACACTCTCACATATGTACATAGATATAACCAAATCATAAGCAAACTAAAGGTACGTTTATATTGCAAAAACAAAATTTAAATAATTAAAAAGCAATATTTAACAAATTAAATTAGAAAATTAATAAACATATTTAAAATTACAAATAAAAAAAAATTTAAATAAAAAAAATTATTTAAAACAAATATTATTAAACTTAAAAAAAAAAAATTTTAAAAACTACACAACAATTTTAATTAAAAAAATATTATTAAAATTAAAAAAATATATTATTAAAATTAAAAAAAAAATATTAAAATTAAAAAAAAATATTTTTAAAATTAAAAAAAAATATTATCTAAATAAAAAAAAATATTATAAAAATTAAAAAAAAAATATTATTAAAATTAAAAAAAAAAACACTTTTCTACCAACACTATTAAGTTTATTGTTCGCACATTTTTTTGTCATTACGTCATATTGGCCAAAAGTTTTCTTAAATGTAATTTATATTTACACGACAAATAAGAAAATATGTTAATAGGAATCAGTAAATAATTTTAACATTTTACCATAAAACTATTTGCACATTTACATTTTAGAAAGCACTGTTTATATTCGCTAAAACGAGATTTGAACGCTTAACTTTAATGCGTAATATGACAAATGAAATCAGCGAGTTGCTTATCACCATTTTCGAAGCAATAAAGAAAGATTAATAAGCGCACCTGTATACACAAATATATCAGTAAAATATTTTTAAACCGATATGAAATTTTGATTACTTTACTATTGTATAGTCATTTTTTGGCTAATAATATGCAACTAGGGCATTAAAACCAGTTATATTTTTCAGCGACAACCAAATGAACCCAAATACATATATTTGACAGAGTAAAGCAAATAGTCAATTTTTAATTTAAAATTTTATCGCTGAGCACTGTGTTTTAATCAAACAAATGTCGTTACGGACAAATGACTAATCTAAATGTCTAGCCTGATAATAGCTACAAATATACGCAAACACATATGTACATACATATACATATGTATATATGTATGAAAGCTTAGTTTAGTATTCCAAATCCAACAAAAAAGTGGACACTAATTTTATTTAAAAAAATTCATCAGATTTCGTATTGGTTTAACTCAACAGTAAAAGCTGAACAGAGATATAATATTAAAAACGTATTGCATTTAAACGGAAACATGACTTAGAATCGAATGACAATGGCAAATTTGTAAACAGTAACGGCGACTGCAAAAAAAAATAATATTTAAATGATACATTAGCAATAGCGAATTATATATTTTTAAAAGCCTCCCGCTTCATTTGTTCAGTATATGTGGCTTTGTAAATGTATCAATTTAACATAAATTTAATTATCAGGCGTTTCAAATCGAGTTGTCTACATATGTATGTATATTAGAGCGTAACTTTTTATATTCATTTGACACAGGTGTTAAAAATTAAAAAAAGAATATACGAACTAGTTTAACTGTGAACGCGATTTGGCTATTATCAACACGAATGTATGTATTTATTAGTAAACTAAAATGTTTAGCTCTCTACCATATCTATGCAAATCATTCATACACTTTAGATAACATACCAGCTATAATACCCCATGGTACATCAATTGTGATTTCTTTCCATGAATCGTCATCTCTGCAGGGGCCGTTGCCATCTGTAAGCAATAACAAAATTACAATAGACGTCCGTCTGTAATGATATTACAAAATCTTGCAAACTCATTCGCCAAAATCAGAGCTTAGACCGCTGACGTAAAGGCTACGTACATACGTTGTGCACATGTATCGCAAGAGCGTGTGGCGTAATATTTACAACTTTTTTTATAACGCATGCACATATATATACCTAATAGAATATGTATATATGCACAGTACACATAACAAAATAAACATGCGATAGCTTTTTTTCTCACTTAAGAGCACAGCTGTTTAGCGGATGCCATAGCTTTCTTGCACATACGCATATATTAAATAAAGTACGTGCATTTAACGTGTATTAAATGCATTCACGGTCGTTTCCGCAAACACGAATTTTCATCAAAAAGCTCTTTGACACCTTACTCAATAAAGTATTTCGTTTTTTTAATTTATACACTAACTTGCTTTTGCTGTTGTGGCTGTATTTCCATTTGTACTTGTGCTTGCACCATTCAATTCAGCTGAAGCCGCGCTTGACTCGTTCGAATCCATTTTACGTATATTTTGTTGTTTCTTTAAACGTACAAAGCTATTGAAAGACAACGGCGGCGACTACACTGTAGCAAATTGCAATTCCCCAACACGATTCCAAACCGTTTGTTGCGAAAGCCAAAAAAGTTGCTATGACAAAAATTTTCTGATTGACATAAAAAACATAGAAAATCAGCTGACAACATGCATTTTTAAATGTTGCCACATGATTCGGAAATTAGCTGTCAGCTGAAAAGTTGCCAGATCAACCTTACTTGCGCCAAATACTTAACGTGATTCGTTATTGTATTGCGATTTTTTTGTGAATTAATTAATCAATTCGTTTATGAAAAAACTGATTTATCCAAAATATGTTAACGATTGTTTGTTTTATCATAGCCGTTAAGTGTAAAGTATTCCAAAAGAGTATAATTGTAAAAGTATCACCACTTATTGAACAATGTACATATGAGCAAAAGTTTTAAATTTAAAAAGGGTTTCACGGATTAAAATAAAATTATTATTTTTAATAGAATTACTATCATCATGAAAACTAAAAAATGAGTAAAATTTTAAGGTATAGTCAAGAAGTACCTAATACCACTCAAAAGTGTGTGATACATAAACTTTTTTAAACAAAATTGAAATTATTATTATTACTTTTGAATTTATATGTATAAAGTCCAAAATAACAACAATCACAAACATGCTGTTTAAATACTCTCGTTTCTAAACATAAGAGATAGGACACAGACTCAGACAAAACCTAAATATAAACTATATTCCACTTGCTCTGAACGACTCACTAACCGTGGTAATTTGGCCTCAGTCATGTGTTAGAGCACTGTTAGGTGGAAAGCTGTTGGCAAAGTACCAAGAATTTTTAACTGTTATTCCGACTTTAAATACAAAACATTTCGAAAATAATGTCAAACGAATCGAACACCATTCAGCGTGATTCAATGCAAAGTACTGGGGAAATATTATCGAATCTTGTAACCTTTGAAATCTTCATTGAAAATTAACTGTCATTATTTCAAATTAGTTTTTGCAGCCTGCATATCAAAAATATTAAAAGCGTTAGGTCTAATACAGAAACAGAGACGAAATTTTTTCAAATGTTGCATAAATACGTGGCGCGTTCAATTTTATCTGCGGTTCAGCCGCAAGCAATTCGAAACGGAATGTTTAAGCGTGGATATGAGGCCACTAGAGCTGGTCCACCAAAATATCCAATAAGCACTCTTGATGTTATTCTACTCGGTGGAGGTTTTATCTTTACCATCTGCATAATGCCAATCTGGGGTTTAAAGCAGGTACCAAAATGGTCGGAAATTCACAATTCAACATAAAATATATGTACATATATAAAAGATTTTCTTCGAATAAATTGAATTATTGAGAAGAAATGTTTGTTTTCTTTATTGAAGGACATTCTATTTTTCATTAGTACAGTAAAGTTCACTTGATTCGACCTAAAACTCTGTTTGTAGGGTCATTTCTTTAAGTTTTGAAGCAGATAAAAAGTAGTGGGAAACTTATTCTGTATAACAAGGCGATGGTTTTGGTGAAAATATGAAGTCGTTGTGGTTCGTAACCTAAATTTTAAATTTGTATTAAATACTGCCGGAGTTTGTGTTTTCGGCCAAGAACTTTGAATTTAAGTTTTGAAGCAAATAAAAGCTGCAGAGAACTCAATAGCGACAATGAAGACATAGTTTCAGCGAAAATATGAGGTTCTGGTTGATGATATCAACTGAATTTGTATTAAATACTAATGGAGTGTGTGGTTATAGACCGACCTTGATCATTTATGGAGCTTGTAAACACGTTTAAAGTACCCTGCTTGTGAACTCATTTTGCACCACGCATATATTGTTTGTGTTTCCTATATGAATGTTGGTTCTTAGAAGGTTTGAAATTTCTAGTTCCCTTAATTAAAAGAATATTACCAGTTTTTGACATTAAGAAATGGAAATAGTTATCTACAGATTCTGAATGAAAACTCCAGAGTATGTAACTCGCTGGTAATGTCCAAAATAGTTTCCCAAGTTGGTCAGTAGATCTTATTCTAGAGTCTAGATGACCAAACTTCTTTAATCCCTTCATTAATAAGATTTTGAATACTTATGTAAATAATGTGCTTTTCCAGCTGCGTTTATATCAGGCAAGTTATGGAGTTACGCAAGACTAGGCTTTTCAAAAATCGATTTTTCTTTGCTTAAAGAACGCGACTAAAAGATTATTGAATTGTTTCGCGTTCCAAAAGTCCGCCATTTTGGAAATATAAAATGTTTATACATATAAAAAGTATAAGAGAGAGAGAGAGAGAGAAAGAGAGAGAGATATGACCAGTTTCTATAATTACCATCGGCCGTCTAGGCATCCTTGAAAAAGATGATTCCGAGATACCTAGACGCAATAGCTGTCATTTTGTATAAAAATGGCAATATAAAATTTATATATATGCCCAAAAAGATGTGTAATAAAGTCTGATAGAAAAGATTCCATTACGTTTTCCTGGACTTTTAGAAAAAATTGTCAAAGTTAGGCAATTTTTGGATTTTCTCATGGCAATACTACACTTTGTAAGTACTATATGTATACTCGTACACTCGTGGATTGACTGTAGCGATAATGAATTGTTTCTCCACATGTATTTTTTGATTGTTATCAGGTTTTGATTAAGGGGGCTTCCACTGTCAAAAAAGTTATGAAATAGACAGATTTGACTCAGTAAGCTTCCAGTGTTATGTTTTCGAACCAAAGGGTTTTGCATTAATATCCATAAACCGCATCGGTAAAAGATCGAAATTCATGGATCACACACTTACAAGTATAGAGAGCTAATATTATAATTGAGTTATTTTATTCTATGTATATACCATATTACAGTCATTAATACTGAAGATAATATATTTCGCCAAATAATTTCTCACCGTGTATATTCTTATTAAACTAATTGAGATCCTTGTGTCGTTCAGGTTGATTGAATAGATATTATCGCGGATTGTTTTGAACTGATAGCTCAAGATGTTTGTTGTTGTAATATTATTATTTTGCATTTGTATAACAATAATTTTATTCATATTAAGTCGTATGTAAATTATCTGAGCATACAATTAAATTAAGCCTAATGTCCTATAAACGAATATAACAGTGAATTGTGGAGAGTATAGTTGAGTGGTCGCATGTCGGAGCAAAATAAACGAAAATGAATTTATTGCTGCAAATTTTGTCATCGGTAAATTAAAAAAGGAGCAAGCTAATTTTATAGTATAATTTAAATATTTTTTATTGCTTTATTGCTATTTATTGTATAGAAAAGTAATCGTGTAAGGCAAGTAATGTGATGAACACGAGGGCCCGATATTTTTCTTGTAAAATTATTTCGATTAAACTCATTTATTCAACGGATGCGGATAGTAATAGAATCGGGTATAGCTTACGAGAAGTGTCAGTGAATGTGACAGTAATTATAGTGGGAGAGGAAGGAGTACTCATGTTCTCTCTTTCTTGCTTTTAGTCGCAATCGTTATAATTTTCGGTTATTATCGGAAAATAGATATTTAAGAACTGTGCTTTAGCTGTTGTAACCATTTTAACAAAAACGTTTCAATGTACATATGTACATACATCCGTTGAAAGTTGCGGATATGCCTAAAAAGATATTAAGTGTCTCTCACCTGTATCGGCGATCATAATATTGTGTTAGTCTTGAGCAAAAAGTATTCAGTGTTTTACTATGACGTCCTTAAAGTAGAATTTTGTTCTAGTTTGTATTGTCCAAACAGAGCTGAGATTCCATGTGTCAGATTACCCGATTTGAAATGTGACAGGTTCAACACAGTACCTAATTGTTTTTAGATGTAAACATTTTCATAGAGGGCTAACGGAGCTTCAGCTCCCTTTTTTCCAAAAAAACTCACATCGTGGTGTTGTTTATATATACAAGATATTTCTTAAAACTGAAGATGGAACTAGTGTTACCGCTATCGACACGTCGATATTAATCGTTTAAATTTGAAAGTACAAGAAGCTTATCAGCGGACGAAACCATCGCTTTATTTGGACGAAATTTTGGTGACCAAATCCTATATGAAAAAAAGGGACTCTCAATTGGTCATATACTGTTATATCAGTTATGACTAATTAGTTGAAAGCCAACATTTGGTGAGTTATTATCAATAAAAGACCGGCTAAGAGAAACGTGGTGTAAAAATGGACCATAGTATGATCAGATGCCTGAAATTCTATTCAAGTACTAAAATTAAGCCAAATATAACCTCTTCACTAATTTGTCTATGTTTTTTTTTAATAGAAAAGTACTAAACTCTAAAGCCATCTTATTATCAACTTACTATTGCTCTGTTCTTTATGTTTGAATTCTGCTCTTCTCTCAAAACATTTACAATTAGAGAGCAACAATCTTTGACTTCGATACAAGAGAGAATAGGAAGTAGTATAACAACTTGCTATCCTAGCTCTATTTGGTTATGCTAGTTTAGTTATTCGTACTAAATCTCTGTTCGATTAGCAACTCTGCAGATTTTGAATAAAATCAAGACAGCTATTGTATTTTTATATTTTTTTATTCGTCCTTTTCTAATATACATTATTTTCTTATTATTATTCTTGTCTCTTGTAATAGTTATTCGGATTGATGCCGTTCAATCGTACGGAATTGGACTCAAATATCGCTGTGGATTATAGCATCGTATTTGTAATGCCAGTTTTCTACCTTTTTTGCTATTATTATGTCAACTTTCATGAGCAAAGCATTTTCAAATTGGCCGAATGCAACAGTATTTGCAACTTTAGCGGTAAACTGCTAACTCATTTGGGATGCTTTCTTTATTTAAGCATTTATTTTCTAACGTTACTACGTCAAAAAAAGTTCTACATAGAATTTGGCAGAAGACTATATGAAATCGATGAATTATCAGAAAAGTGTATCCAGTTGGTTGATAATCGCAATAAATTGTTTGTGGCAAAAACGAAGCGCTTATTTTATTTGACCTGGACAATCCTTTTGGCAACATTCGTATTCGCAATATTTTATGATGTCAGCCATATTTTCGAGTAAGTTTTACCAATGAATTATCGTTATTATAAAATGAACGTATCAGCACTCATCCTGTTTTAAGGAATAGTTAATGGAGACTCAACGGTATTAATGTGT